GGTTCAGCATCTTTGCAAACTGGATCATCTGTTTTGCTCCTGCATCATCACACGGTGGATTTAGTTTCTGACACATCTTTAAATAATTGTTCAAGGGGTTCTCCAAAGAAGTGTCACCAACATCGGGATGAGCTACGGACTTGGCTTTATGGGACAGTATCCTTCTAGTTTTGGCTGAAGTGACTTGAGGTATATAGCGATGGGATCTGGTAATCAGGGAATCATGCAGGTATTCAGATGCTAGCAGAAAGTTTTTGGTATTTTGGTAGGGATGTTGGGCAAAGACAGAAAGATCCCTGAACCACTGCATATAATCCCCCTCAGCAGTGCACAGATAGCACCAAGTTACAATAGAAAAGCTCCTAAGATTGCATAAAAGACTTCCCAAAGAGCTCAGTGTGCACTGCCGTCCCCAACGGGGAGACAGGACTTTCAACAGCATCGCCACTTTTTAGATGGTACAGGAAAAATTAGAGAGAGTCAATATTAGTGGTTATGCTGTGCACAGAAGGACAGTGGGTGTTAGCATAACCCATCTTCTTCTCTGCAGGGTTTGGGTGAGACACCTCTGGATGTATCAGTGCATTCAGTGTATCAGTGATGCTTCCACATTAGACAAATACATCCTTTATGGGAAACAGTGAGGAACTTCCTCTAGGAAATGACATTATATATATATACATTATATTTTATATATCCAGGCTTGGATAGGTGTGCAGGGACACACATGAAAGTCCAGGTGAGTAGCAGCAAACAAATCCCTCCAAAGACGCTTATCAGAAGAGAGGTCTGTGCTGCTGAAGAAGGTGGGGCGAAGAGAAGCAGTATGACATTAGCCCAAATGGGCTGAGGCAAAAAAACCCAATCCAAATAGCTTATGTGGTTTCACTGCAAGAAATCAAGGTATTGCTTTTGCTTCTTTTTCTTCAACTATTGAGGGCATGCCCTTCGTATCGACAAATAAAAGGAAAAAAACTAACCTAAAGATTTCTGGCAGCAAGAGTGAAATGCCCATAATAATAACATTCGCTCTGTGCAATGTGAGAAGCTCATAGGAGCCTCAAATATATCCCCATTAGTGATACAGAGACCACTGTGTGAGTTACTCTGGCTTACAAAATCACTGTTTTACTAATAAATATTATTCATCATTTGGAGGATGAAGTTTATTACAGCAAACCAAATACAGCTCTGTATTTCTTTGGCAGAGAAATAGCCCATGTGTTACATTATTGTCTCAAATATTTAGGAAAACATGATAACAGCTAAAAATAATGGTTTGTATTTATCGTTTGTATAATGCTGTTTAGTTAATGCAGTTATTATAGCAATGAACATGATCCACTGGGTTCGAAATGAAAGCCAGTGTTTCAAAAAAAGACTATTTTGGACTAGTTACAAGATCCCAAGCTATTAACAGATATATGATTCCCTTCTCTCATGACCTATCAGACCCAGGAAATGAAGTCTAATATGATCACTCAGTAACAATAATCCTACCTCACAAATGTGACCTCATATCATAAGAGCATGTACACCGGCAAGTTGGAAACCCTTTTCCCCAGTGGGATACACATCTGGTTCGTTGCACATTAACTGACTTCAAGATGATACATCATTATAACTTATAAAAAATCTATTTAAGAGATTCATCAATGCATTAACGATGAAGGACTGAACTTCTGGATGAGGAATGCGTAAGGAACTTCTTACAAACCGATCTATCACCATTAGGTCCTATAGAATTTGAAAGGTCCTGACAATCAGTCATCGACAAATGAGGCTATTTTAGGTGGCTGTGCGGGCTCATTACAGACGAAGGAATTGGACTGTATCCAAAGGAGATTTCATTGAGTATCCATGCCACCTATTTGGACTGCCGGCATGAGCCTTCAATTGCATTTCTTCACAAAAAACGAAAAATTGAAACTCCTTGTCCCCGTCCCCACCCCCAATTAGATGGCTAGAAATGCATGAGGTTTCCCCAGAAGACTATCTGTACTAGGGCTGTGCGAAATGGCACCGTTCCGTTTCAACTTGCATTTCGACAGAACAGCATTTTGTTTCGAATTTTGTTTCGATTCAAAACCGCTAATCCGTTTCTGAGTTTTGCTGTTTCAATGCTGTTTTGACGTTTCGCCCATAAGCTATAATGGGGAAGCTTGAAACAGCCTATAACTTTGTCATTTCTGGCCTCATTTGGATGAGACTTGCAGGAATAGTAGCCCCTTCTGCGGGCATGAAGCCTGCCAAGTTTCAAAGAGAGAGCTGCAGAGGTTTCGGGGAAACTGCATGTCAAAGTCTTGAAAGCAAAATACTCATGTCATGTGTTTGTGTTAAGCCACAGCGGAGTCAAAACTGCAGGCATGCTAGCCCCTGCAGAGGCCACAAAGCCTGCCAAGTTTCAAGTTGAAAGGTGCAGGGGTTTGGGGGGAACTGCACCTCAAGCTGCAGACAAGCAAAACTGGTGCCATGGGTGACACTGTGTGTGTTAAGGTGCAGCAGGGTGACCGCTGCAGGGATGGTGGCCCCTGCTGAGGCCATGAAGCCTGCCAGCTGTCGAGGAGATAGGTGCAGGGGGAGCCTGCACCTCTGGCTGCTGACAGGCAACACTCATGACACGGGTGGGTGACACCGTGTGTGTTAAGGTGCGCCCTCACTCAACTGACCCCAAGGCAGAAAGCAGGGCAGTTCAAACAATGCTGCCTTTTATTCAGTTTTTCCATCCCTCCCCCAGAGCACTGGGATTGAAGAGACCTCAGGGAAGGATGACAGTCATTGGCCAGCTACCCAGTCCATAATGAGAGCACTCCTTCCCCACCTTCCCCCTCCCTCTCCTTACTTTAGTTTCTGTTTCCCTGCAGGCAAGCCCAGCTTGAGTTTCGAAACTCAATGTTTCGAGAGTTTCGAAATGTTTCGACTTGCCTTGTTTTGTTTCGAGGCTGTTTCAAAGCCCCTCTCCGTTCCATGTCGCTTTCGCTGTCTCGAGCTCGAAACAGCGTGGAAACGAAATTTCACATGGCCCTAATCTGTACGCTCAGCGCATCAGAGGCGTGCGCGCGATTGCTGGATGAAAGCTGCCAGTCTGCACACCAGGCAAAACCCGGCTGATTTAACAACTCATTCTAATACAATGGTTCTCAACCTCTTTAGACTCAAGACATCGCTCGTCAGATTCAAAGCCCCTCTCAGATAGTGCCGGCTCTTAGTTTTCTTTTCTTTTTTTTTTTTTAAACTATGAAAATATAAAAAGGCAATTCTTTTGCTGCAAAGAATTCAGAAAGACTGCAATAGGCCTGAATGCTTCTGATGCTTTGGGTTATTTGAAATTTCTGAGTTTATCTTGTGAATGATATGTAGGTGTCTGTGCTAATACTGCGTGGCACCCTGCGGCACCCTAGGTGAGGACCTTGCTGCACCCCAGGGCTCTGCAACACCCTGCTTGAGAACCAGGATGCAGCAAGGCACATATCCCATGAGCTCCCAACCAGGATCCTAAGACACAGTCTCTGTCTCTGAAGAGTTAGCAATGTAAATATTACAAATAAGCTGGACAAGACACAGGCTGGGAATTGCAATCATCTCCAATTCTGGGGATCTAGCGTACAGAGAAATTAAAAGCCTTGCCCGTCATTGTACAGACGGCCTGTGGCTGAACTGGGAATTAAACTCAGGTCCCTTAAATTTCAATTCATTTCTTTAAACACATGATGA